CATCTCTTCATACAAAGGATATGTAGAGACATCCTATTATCAAATTCTTGTCAGACTTTTCTTCCCCTTCATTTTTTCTTACCCCCCAATACTTTAGCCACTATAATTTGTAGGCTGAATGACAATCCCATTACTGCCACTAATCTGCATTACACAGAATGTTGAATTGTCAAAGCAGATACACACATAATAGATCTCTCACACCAAAATTGACTAATGTTTATTGCTTAGTTTCCTAAGGCTACCTTAATAGATTACTGCAAACTGGGTTGCTTAAAACAACAGAAATTTAGCCTCTCACAGTTCTGGAGGCAAGATGTCTGAAATCACTGTTTGCAGGGCCAATCTCTCTCAAAAGGCTCTAGGGAAGGATCTATTCCACACCTTTCTTTTAGCTTCTGGTGTTGTCAGCGATGCTTGATGTCCCTAGGCTTGCAACTAAATAATGCCAATCACTGCTTCCATCATCACATAGCATTCTCCCCCTTGGTCATTACATCATCATCTTATAGACACCTGTCATTGTATTAAGGGCCCATCCTCTTCCAGTATGATCTCATCTTAAGTATTTACTTCTGCAATGATTCTATTTCCAAATATGTTCACGTTCTGTAGTACTGGGTGTTAGAACTCCAACATATCTTTCCAGTGGACATAATTCAACCTGTAATACATATCAAATGATACAAACAAAAACCAAGCATAGCTTCAGCATTCTTTCTGGAGGGATCTCCAAACTCATCAGACATAATCTCTTTTGCCACAGTAGGGCATGGTTTAATTTCAGAGTAATAGATTAATGCTATCAATGCTTGTAGTATATCTAAACTCAGAAGAAGATGTTTAAGTTTGGAATATTTGGGTTTTTATGCTTGATGAGTCACGCAGACCTGTGTGTTACCTTCCATTTTCTAGCCAGGTACATCACAATTGATAAATTCCAGATTTATTTTCTTCTTTTTCTTCTCTTCTCTTCTCTTCTCTTCTCTTCTCTTCTCTTCTCTTCTCTTCTCAGAGGGAGAGGGGTGCATGTAGGGGCAGAGGGAGAGGGAGAGAGAGAATCTTAAGCAGATACCAAGCCCAGCACAGAGCCCGAGATCATGACCTAAGCCTAAATCAAGAATCTAACATTAACCTACTGAGCTACCCAGGCACCTCCCCCGTTTCTTTTCAGATTTATTTTCAACAATCAATCTAGACAGACCAAACATAGCCTGCTAAAGTACTCTTAGATGAGAACTCACCCAGGTATCTCCCAGGTATAAAATATCATTAGCATACTTACAAAGGGCTCTAGTTTATGTCAGCACTACCTCAAGTGTCCCTTAGGAAGGAAAAAGTGAATTATAGACCCTCCATGTGGTAACTAGATTTCAAGATGACTTCAATGATCCCTGTCTCTGGGTATTCATGTCTTTGTATAGTTCCTTCTTACATTGTATTAGGATTGGTCTGTTTGACCAACAGAATACAACAGAAGTCATTCTATGTGACTTCAGAGACTGGTCCATAAAAGACAGTGTAGCTTCTGTCACATGCCAGATGCCATGTCATGTAAACATTCAGATGGCCTTATGAACTCTATATGGTCATCAACTGAGGCCTTTTTCTGACAGCCAGCAAAGAACTGAGGCTTTATGTCAACATCCCTGTGAGTGAGCCATCTTTAAGACAGATTTTTCAGCTCTAGTCAAGTCTTGTGGTGATAACAGTTGTTGGAGAGGAAAAATTTTTCTTTACCCTGTAAGATTCTCCTAGCTGGTCTGACATGAAACAGATTACCAAGAGAAAATCAAATTCACTTATGTAGGTATGGGGAATTCACATAGACATGAGCTTCCCAAGACTCGGGCAAAATGAGGCATATATGGTCATCCTGAACTAATGAGAAGAAGGTAGAGGTCTGGGACTTTAAAGAAGGGGAAGCAATTTACAGAAAGATGAAAAAGTAAATGGTAAACAAATGTTTGCTGGGCCACACAGAAAGGATGGGAACCAGGGAGGAATTTTAACAGACTTTGCTGGGTTCTTCCCTATTTACCTACCTAGTTGATGTTATAATGTGGTTATCTATGGTGATAGCCCTTTTCCTGGAGCTGGTCCTCTCTCTAAATCCTTTTAGACAATAAGAGGGAGAGTCAAAGTTTCTTCCTAAGTCAGCTGGGCCTTGATTGTTTTCAGCTAGAAATAACCTGCATGCTGAAGTGGTGCAACTTGGGGCAGCCTGCCCTTGGCCTCTAAACAGTCCTAACCTTGACTGCAGTCTCATAGGAAACCCTGAGTCTGAACTATTTAGTAAAGGCACATCTCAATCCCTGACCCACAGAAATTGCCATAATAAATGTTGCTTTAAGCTGCTAAATTTAGGGTAATTTTTTGTGCAGCAATATATAACTTACACACTTTGTTAACCTCTCCAGTATCTTAAAATACTTTTCACTAATTTTATATGTGTTGGGAATCTGTCTACTTCCAGAATGCATTTTAAAATTTGTAAGAAATTCTCAGACTTTCATAGCTGTAATTGAAAAATGCCTCCTCTAGCTTCTTATTTCTTTGGGAAGACTTCTTTCTCTGTACTCATGACCTTTCAACTTTTTGTGTCTACTTTCTGAGCACTATGCTGTCTGGCTAACTGCCTCTGAATTTAGCCTCAGTAATTTTGTGTTTTATATGTGTTAATGTGACTAATGAATTACTCAAGGTCTTTTTTTGTTTTGTTGTATTTGTTGCTGTTGTTGTTTTATGGGGTGAGTGAGGAGATATAGAGGAAATTCCTTAGCGGGGCTGGAAATACTAGTGATTTTCTTCATTTGGAAGAAACAGGCACATCATGCATTTCCTGTATTTGTGTTCCTAAACATGCCCTGAGGTGTTACTTTTTAATAATTTTTTATTCAATATTTATGCCATTTCTATGTCCATATAGTCTAACTAAAACTCTGACTAATATGCTTACTCATTTCTCAGTTTCCATCAGGAAGTAATGCATGTACACAATGCTTAATTGGTAATTCTTCAGGGGTGCACTTTTTAGGACTGCTAGTCTGTCGACACACCAAGTCTTTTTAATTTCTATGCTCCAGCTTTAGAGTCATTAGGGATGCTCTCTTCACTTAAGATTAAAATAAAGCTTCTGATATAAAGAAAGAAGAGTCTAAACTCAGAAAAAAAAAAATTAAAGCCAGTGGTATTCATATGAAGAAATTCTTACTTTTACAGAGAAGACAACTTATATTAGATACTTATTCCATAGCTCACATTTTGAGTTTAAAATTCTGCACCGGTTTAACATGCTTTCATTGGAATTGTTCTTTCCATTATGCAGTTTTCATTATATTTTCCATTAGTGAAGAAAAGCAATGACCCAAAGAATCCATGAGTCTAAGACATATAATTTCAGAAAGCAGCAACTACATCATTGATTTTTCCTTCCCAAATGATGTGCGGTTAAAGAAAGAAGAGGATATAGAGATTTGGTATAAAATAAGAACATGTTTCTGGGGTATGAAACAATTTGATCTCAGGTTCCCACTGAATATAGCTTATTTATTTTAAAACAAATTTACTCCAACAACACCTCTTTCTTGGTCTGTCTCTATTTCTCTATCTTTTCCTCTCCATCTCCCTCTCCCTTTGGCAGTAGTTTTGTTTTTTCATGCATATACATTGTTTATTCTTATCAACAGGAGCAAGGTTTCCTCTTCAAGTCCTATATTCCCTCAATTCATAGATTCTTTCAATTCCCTAAAAACTAGCCATTTTTTTTCTGTGCTCATCTTTTTTTGTAAAAAAAGAAACCAATACAGTACAAGCTTTCTATTTTCCAATCTCTTCCCTTAGAGTTGTAACATAATATCTGCTTCTAAGCTTCCTCAGGTAATGGAGCTTACCAAATGTTTTGCCTCTATGGGACGTAGAACACTATCTTTCCAGACTTTGATAACAGTTTCCTGTGACCAAGTGACTACTAAACCAATTGAGGTTTTAAGCTTTTGTTCTGTAGCACTGAACTTCTAAGTACCAATTTCTAGACTAGTCAAAATGAGCTAGGTTAAGCTCTGGCAAAGAAACCCCCAAATCTTGGTAGCTACACACACACACTCACGCACACAACTTTATTTCTTGCTCAATGTAAGCCAACAGGGGTCTTTGTTCAGTATAGTCACTCAAGGGTTCAGGCTGAGAGAAGCTTCTTTTCTGTTCATGCTTCATGACAGTTACCATAGCAATAGGAAGGGAATATAGTGAACCAAACACTACTAGAAGTTTTCCTCTAAAGTGGGGCATTTCTTTCTGCTTACATTTCATTTGCAAAAGCAAGTCACATAGGTGGGTATATCTACAATGAGGCCAGAGAAATGCAAATCCACTATGTGGCAGGAAGAAGAAAATCTGAAAGTACTTGGTGAAAAGCATTTTTTTTTAAACTTCAAAATAGTGAACACACTCTGTTTTAAGGAGTTTTGACTTTGTTCTAAATTCTAAGTGAAAGCATGTAGAGAATGTTAAGCAGATGTGTGAAATTATCTGATGTATTTTTTCTAATAAAATTATCTTAATATACTAATGCATAACATAAAATCTAACATTCTCTCCTTATTCTAAATATAATATATATACGGTTCTAAAATATAACATGTTCTAAAATATAACATGTACACAGTTGACCACATGTGCCAGCCGACGACCCATGCATGAGACAGCACCCAGGGGATCACCATCCATGATGTAGTCCCTCTGGGACACAAGGGGAAGCAACCTCCATTATCTGGGTCTCGCCCTGCCATAGCAGAAGGAAGAGAACAAGAGAGTCATATACTGGTTTGAGAAATACAGCCATATTGTATGCCCAGTTTATTCTATTACATGTGTGGTCTATTGGTGGATGTTAGTATTTGCAAGTCAACAATTAAGAAAGAAAACAAAGGACCTTTTTCTCACCCAGCCATTTTGGCAGCTGTTCCTGGATGGGGCCATCCCATACTTAAGGCAGGAAGATGGTGGTGCAAAGAAGACAAAAAAAGTCACTGGAGTCGATCAACTCCAGGCTCCAGCTCGTCATGAAAAGTGGAAAGTACCTGCTGGGGTACAAGCAGACTCTGGAAGTGATCAGACATGGCAAAGCGAAACTGGTCATCCTCACCAACAACTGCCCAACCTTGAGGAAATCTGAAAAAGAATGTTACGGCATGTTGGCCAAAACTGGTGCCCATCACTACACTGGCAATAATACTGAATTGGGCACAGCATGTGGGAAATGCTACAGAGTACGCACACTGGCTATCATTGATCCAGGTGATTCTGATACCATTAGAAGCATGTGAGAAGTAAATCACACAGAATTTTTCCTTAATAAAACAAACCAGAGCTTGTTTAATAAATAAATAAATAGGGCGCCTGGGTGGCTCAGTTGGTTAAGCGACTGCCTTCGGCTCAGGTCATGATCCTGGAGTCCCGGGATCGAGTCCCGCATCGGGCTCCCTGCTCGGCAGGGGGTCTGCTTCTCCCTCTGACCCTCCTCCCTCTCATGCTCTCTGTCTCTCATTCTCTCTCTCGCAAATAAATAAAATCTTAAAAATAAATAAATAAATAAATAAATAAATAAATAAATAAATAAATAAATAAATAAATAAAACAAAGGAGCCTGATTGGAAGAAATGGTTCAACATAGGGCTAAAATCACACTCCCTAATATGTATCCCTGAATTGAATATTTTCCCTAAATTATAGGTCTCCTTGTTGAAGAGATGGTCTTCCCTGATAAGCTTACATTGTGAATTAACAGAAATGCCAGGGACCTAAATATTCTCTCCTAAGAATAGAGAAAGCAACAGTTGTTCTTGTTTTTTGTTTGTTTTGTTTCATATATTCTATTTTAATGTGTAGATTTCAGCATTGTTCTTTTCAAGGCTTTGCAGGAGAAGCTAATGGTTAAGGCCATTTATTTGGTCAAGAAAGAGCCTGTGTAATTGTCTAGGGGTCAGAAGATCCAGATTTAAATATTCCTCGTCACCAAATAGCTGCTTAGTGACTAAATGAGTGGAAAGACTCATCTGCTATGTGATATGGACTGGCAGCCAGTCTCCCAACAGTGGTTAATTTGGGCTGTTCTTGAACGTGGAGGCTTCAGTATGCTGCCGGGGTCTACAGTCTTGGGTTTCAACACCACTGATTAACTGTGAACCTTCAGCAAGCTATGCTGTTTAATTTCTCTTGATAACAATCAGCTGCCAAGTTTGATTGCTTATAATATAGGACACTGTGATTCGTGTCCTGTGAACATTATCTCATTTAAATAACTCTGTAAGAAATATATCCAGTTTTGCAGGTGAGGGGATTAAGCTTTACTGAAGGTAAGTTATATGTTCAAGGCCACAGTCTCAGTAAATTTCAGAGATAAGACTTAAATTGAAGCCAGTCTGGCACCAATGCCACGGTTACCCCCCACCACACTAGAAAGAGTCTCATTGTTTTCTTTGTCAAAAACTGGGAGAAATGATTGTAAGCAGGAGAAATCAAGACGATACTGGAAATACGTTTGCGGAAACAAAGGATGTATGGCAAGGACACTGAATGGGGTAATCACTTAGTGACGGGAAATACATAGAAACTGCGTTTAGGTGTGGAGAGTCCAGGAGGAGAGGCTCTGTTATGGTACACAGTCCTTTCATGCAGTAACTACTTCGTGCTTGTGGAGGAGTTGGTCCTACTAAAGTAAGCTTCCAGGCTTAACAGGAAAAGGATGCGTGGCATATAGTTAGGGCTCTTTCCACATGGGAAGTTAGTATTTATGTTTAATACTTTCTCGTCTTTTGGAACAGACCTGCTTTCCAGAGCCTCCCATCATTAAATGTGAGGGAGCTGATATAATTGGTGGGATGGAGTTTGGGGGAAGATGGTCTGCAGTGACTGAAAGCAAAAACTCACATTTTGACCTAACTAACCGCAGTGGATTGTGATAACATTATGTAGTTTTCTCTTGAAGAACATCCTAGATATGAAATCGCCTTGATCTTATATTACAAAAACTCCATCAAAGAATCTCACTAAACTCCTGAAATTCACTAACCCTCACTAACTTTTTATCCTGGACTCTACAGTGAACACATAAAATTCTAATGGTCTGCCAACCAGTCAAGGAAGAGGAGAATGATTTTCTGTCAGGCAATAAGTGGATGATATATGAACTTTAGTCAGGAATAGAATTAAAATATGCAATTCTAATTTAGAGAAAATTTCCATTAATGACCTAAAGGGACATTTTTTTTTATGAATGATACCCTTACATCTTCTTTCAAATTAAGATAAAAATACATAATTAAAATGCAAAATTGCCTCACTAGAAAAGTTGCTGATATATTCAAAGCATGCACTTTACATAGTAATTGTTTCAATCTAAATGCTGAGAGAATTTTCTTGCCTTCAATCTTATCCCAAAATACTATGTCCTTCAAGCAATATACACATGTCATATAAAAAGTAATGGTCATGGAGAGGAACCCACCAAAAAAGTCATGTAAAACTGAACTTGGTCTTAGCCATTTCTGCCTTTTAAAGAGACAACAGAGGTAGGTAGTGGTTGCATAATTCAGATCAGTGAAGGAAATAAAAATATGTTTACCGCTCTCTTCCTACCATGGAACCTAAGTGTCAGAAGGGATAGGTCTGACATTTTAATGTCTTGGCCAGTGTGGAATGGTAAGGGCTGGCCCCTGGTGTGGGTGGCCTGTGGTTTCATAGAACATTACAAATTTTCCATTCCTTCCTCTGCCTGGATCCTTTTGAATCAAATTCCAATCATCATATAATTTAATTCATAAATATTTTAGTTACTTCTAAAATGTAATGACTTTTAAAAATTCACTGAAGTACCATTATTATGCCACCAAAATGAATAATAAATTCTCAAAATTATTGAATAACCTGTTGGTGTTCACGTTTTTCCAACTGTTTCATAATTTCAACTTTTAATAGTTTAAAATTGGTTATGTGTCCCAATTCTCACATGTTGTCCTCCTTTTCTCTGTATTTTTTTCTTTTACTATTTGTTGAAGACACAAGATCATTTTTCCTTAGAGTTTGCCACATGCTAGATTTTGCTAATTGTATATATGTGGTGTTGTCCAATATATATTCCATTCCATTTCCTATAAATTGGAGGTTGGATACAGGGACTTCATGAGATATAGTTTTGATATTTTTATCAAGAGTAACTACTCTTGACATAAGTGGTATTGTGTTTTTCTGTCAGGAGACAATTATTATGCTGTTGACTTCCTTTTTTTTTTTTTTTTTTACGTTAGCAGGCGTTAATATATTCATTTCCTAGATCCACTATTTAATTAGAGGTTGCAAACTGGTGATATCCCAATTCTATCATTACTTCTTAATTTATTATCAGGGATATTTCTATACAGAGAAATTTGGAAAACTTTTAAGAGCTGTCATCATGAATCTTCAATTTTTCTTGCACATTTCATAAATTCAATGATATTTAGAGAATTTAGTATCAGTGACATTTTTGCAAGGGAGATCAAAGTAAGTGTACCATGTTCTATCTTTGCACAATAGAAACCTAATAGGAGGGATAGTAAAGTGATCCATAATTAATGTTTCAGCAAAACGGAAGAGCTTGGAAACAAAAAAGACTAATGAAAATTTAAGCCAAACTTGTGATTCTAAGAAACTAAAAGGGCAGCGAATGCAGTATTTTTTTGATGTAACATCCTTTGAAATGTAAAGGACATGATATCTTGGTAAGAAAGTCCAACATCAAAAAGAATATTTTTCCAAAACTTAACTGTTGACAATGAACTTTAATATTTTTGGACCATAGTGTTAATTTGTATTTACAATTAAAATCCTCAAGCCAGGGGCGCCTGGGTGGCTCAGTCGGTTAAGCGTCTGCCTTCGGCTCAGGTCATGATCCCAGGGTCCTGGGATCCAGCCCCGCATCGATCTCTCTGCTCGGCCGGAAGCCTGCTTTTCCCTCTCCCACTCCCCAGGCTTGTGTTCCTGCTCTTGCTAACTCTCTCTCTCTGTCAAATAAATAAATAAATAAAATCTTAAAAAAAAAAATCCTCAAGCCATGTACTAAAGAAATATAAAGCTATATTAATTAATTAATTTATTTATTCACGCAATGAATATGCTAAGTACTTAGCATAATACTCAGGTATCCCTTTAGCTCTAATGTACTTCAAATGGATCAACATTAAAATTTGCACAAGTTGCTTATTTATAATAGCTATTTTTTGCCTTTGGAGAAATTCACACTTCGGATACTTTGATTGTACCATCGATACTTCCAACTATGACAGCAAAGGAGAAAATGAAGAAAGGCTAAGTTTCTTTCCAACTTGGTTGTTTCCATTAAAAGGCTGTAGTAAAAGACTCTGATCGGTAGGATTAAAGGGAGTACAGGCATCCCCGGTTTTTTTAAAATTCACCTTATGCCACTTTGCTTTCATTAAAGACCTACATGCGTACTTGTTTTCACTAACTGAAAGAAATCCAAAGAAGATTTTAGCTTTTGCCAAAAAACAAAATAAAACAAAACAGTGAGAATGGTGTTCAGCGTTCGTTTTGCAGTGAGATGTTATAGAGGTAGTGTCTGTGGGAGCTGCAGGATTGGCCCCACCAAGCTCCTTCCCCAGGAAGGAGCTCCCCATTCAGCAACTCAGCATCAGGGCCCCACAACTTTGAAGTGTGTGTGTGAGCATCTGTGCTTCGTCTCAATTCATTTTATGCATTCATTAGCAAGATGTGTCCTAAGGTACCAGAAAAGCCTAAGAGAGATTACTTTTGGGGTCTGGGAATGTTAAAATTTTTCCATATTAATTAATAGTGATTGCTTCTCTTCACTTTGCACAATTTCAGCTTATGAAAGCTTTCTTAAGAAAGCTCTTTTTTGGATAGTGGGTGAAACCTGTATATTTATATTCAACTTATTTTTCTAAGATTTTAATTTAGAAGACACCTGTCTATAAAAATAATATGAGGCCTGTGTCATTGGAGAGACTTTGGGAGAAAACTTTCAGTATCATTCTAAGGGATCATGTCCCTCTTGCAATTTACTTTATGGAGAAAATGAACTGATTACATGGGAAGCAAGGGACTATAATCTCTTTACAGCTCAGTTTAACACTTTATTTGTAATGGGCTTAATGAGCCAGAAGAAAGAGAACCTTCTTTAGCCTATTCTATTCCCTTCACCCCAGGTTGTTCTCTCCTCCAGGAAAGCTGACGTCTCCATGGCTGCTGAAAGAAGGGGCAATCTATATCAATTTTCATTTAAGTTATGAATTTCTTATCCAAAATTTTG